CTCCCATCGCATGATTTCTGCCTAAATTGTGTTTTGTGGACTAACAACTTTGTCCACGCTAACAAAAATCTTAGTTTAACTAAACTGAAATGTACTTTTCCTTATTACCGTTTTGTTGCATCAAAAAGAATCCTTAGATTGGCAAACAACAGGAAGAATTTTACAATGGCAATAGGTTTCTACCCTACTTTGGTTCAACTGTCACTGTGTCACAACTTCCCAAGAATGCTATAAATTGGGGACTGCAACTTTCCTGTGAAAACACTGCAAGAATATCCTGTCTTTGGGTCCGTTGGAAAGCTAACTGCTAACTGTCCCTCCTAACTCAACCATGAAGATCCTTCATTTCTTTCTGGCTGGTCTCTCTGTGTTCCTTCTGATTTCTGCAGGTAAGGAATAAGAAGGCAAGGAGGCAGGGGAAGAGAAAAGGAAGGAAGAAAGAAAGGAGGGAAGGAAGGAAGGAAACCTTTGTCTTTTAGGGCTGCCCAGTCAAAACAAAAATCAAGAGAGGGAAATGATCTATGTACAATTAGCAACACCTTGGCCGCAAACTGAGTGGGTGCCACTTTCTAATGGTCCTCTGCTGGGTTAATATTTATTTTATTTCTCTGTCTAAATTACTATATAAGAATTTGTTTTACTCTGAAACTCTCTATCTTCATATCAGTGACTGGGAGACAATTATGAGTCTTCTTTTGGAGAGAGAGAGAGAGAGAGAAAGATTTCCTCTTTGACTTGAGTAGGGGATTGCTATGCACAATGGCCAGCCTGTCTTAGTCTGTAAATTTGGGGGTTACAAAAGGCTTCCACACAATTGAAGCTTCCATGACACAAAAGGCTTGGCATTTTGGTTCCAATAACCTGGAATGGAAACTGGAGTCAAAATTAATTATTTTTCTTTTCAAGATGAACACATTTGCAACGACTCTCAACCTGGAATATTCACCTTCCACATATTATTTGATATAGCAAACTTGTACCACTGCAAGTTTTCCTAAATATAACAGCCATCAAAATTATTTTATAGGGCCTAGTTCCAGTTCTACAAAAATGAAACTTCTCCTTAGATCCGTGATTTAAGATCAAAATTCTGCAAATTTAGGGCTGTGCTTCATTCAAACACAAAATGTCTTGGTCTTAGCATTACAAAACTTGAATATTCCTCTAAGTGTAAGAGTCTTCTCTTCCAAATCTCACAAATCTGAAGGCAAATAAGAAAATGTCATCCTTCCCATTATAGATGAGGAAAGCTGTCAAAGACATGTAGAGAATTGTACATGACCTGTTAGAAGATATCAGAAAAAACTATATCCCACCCTGGTTTCCTCAAGTTCGTATAGGGTTGGGCCAACAATTCCCACCAAAAAAACTCCAAAACCCCGAGAATAAGAACTGTGGAAGTTTTGGTAGATTAACATATTTGAAGGGCACTCAGCTTGGTTCCTGGTGATTTCTTCAACAGTTAAGGCTGTTTCCCAGAGAACACTGGAGTTGTTTTGTTTAACACAGAGTCATTAGCCATTTTCCGGGGAGACTCTAGCTATGGATTTTCTGCATTAAGCAGAGGGTTGAACTACGTAAATAGCTCTTCAGATCCCTCCAATTTTATCCCATAAAATCCTTTCCTTTACAGAATAACAAAGTTGGAAGGGACTTTGGAGGACTTTTAGGAAAATACCCTGCTCAAGCAAGAGACCCGATACCATCTCAGAAAAACCGATGCCCATTCTCTTCATAAAACTTCCAATGTTGGAGCATCCACAATTTCTGGAGGAAAATTGTTCCACTGATTAATTGTTCTAACTGTCAGAACATTTCTCCTTAATTCTAGGTTGCTTCTCTCCTTGATTAGTTTCCATCCATTGTTTCTTGCCTTCAGGTGCTTTGGAGANCTCGCTGCTAGACTGTTAAGTGCACTCTGTGCATGCTCGGAGGCACCGTTTCGTCATATACTTTCAAGAGATTCCTTTGCAGATTCACTCGGCCCAAGCCCCCCACTCCTGCGCCTCCACTCTGGAAGAAAGTGTCCTTCCTCCACCCCCACCCACCGGCCCAAGGCGCTTGAGGTGCTCCCTCCCTCCGTCGCCTCCACCGGCCGCTTTTTCTCGCCTACTCGGCGTAGCCGGTGCTCCAGGGCAGGCGACGGCGACTCTCGCGGGGACTCTGGACGGCTCTGCCCGTGTGGTCGTCGGCCAGCAGGAGCTCCTCTGGCGTGAGCTGCAGAAAAGCCGGCCTTGAGAAGCTGCCGCGGGGCTTCTCGCGACAGGAGCTGCTCGTGGTGGTAGCGGAGGAGGAGGTAGTGGTAGTGGCCGCGGCGGCGGTAACGTTGGGCCCGGCAGCCTCGGACAAAACAGACGGGGACGGCGCGGTTGAGGCGCTGGCGGTGGGCGAGGCGTGCTGAGGACTCCGGGGGCTTCCTCCGCCTCCCAGACCCCCGACTAGTTGCGCCATCGCTGAGCGAACTCTGCCCAACATGCTGCCGCTCTTGCTGCTGCAGCCGCCGCCGGGCGCCGCGGGCTCGGAGCGGCCAGAGAGGGAGGCGCGCTGGCGGTCTCTGCTCCCGCCCCCTCCTCCTCTTCCTCCTCCTCCTGGGCTCGGGCTGAACTCAGGCGCGTCAGGGAATCTCCGAGAGCCTCCTCCCAACCGCGTCCTCTTCGACGCACCGTGAGCCTTAGGCGGCTTCGGAACTCCTCCCGAGCTCCCCGGAGGTTTTTCTTCCTACCGAAGCGCTGTAAAGACCGCGGAGGCGCTCCTTTCCTTGGGGAGTCGCTGTATTATGCCTTGGGGGGAGCCCTCGCCTGCCGTTGCCGAGGAGTGCCTTGAAACCTTCCCGTAGGCCTTGTGGTCAGGTTGTTCTCCAATCTTCCTTCTCCCTGTTTTACGGACATGCCCACCATCGTTCTTAACAACCGCAGCTTCTTTTACTTCCCATTGACAACTCTGATTTCTTGGTGGTCTCCCATCCTAGTAGCAGTCAGTCTGATGCCAGCCAAAATCAGCTATATACTAGATGGCTTTGTGATCATCCTTCCACACTAAATATACTGAGGTTTAAGGTACTTAGGGCTCTAAGCCAGTGTTCTTAACCTCAGCCACTTTTAAGGTGGCTGAGGATTTCTGAGAGTTAAAATCCACACAGCTTAAAAGTGTCTTGAGGATGAGAAAAATAGCTCTTCAGAAGCTTCTGCACCTTAGTATTTTCACCATATTGTACTTATAGCTCTGGTTTTGTAACTCACTTGTTCACCTTAGAAAGGTATGTAGCTTTGGAAATAAACTGCCACTCCTAATCTCCCATTGTTTTCCAAATATGTTTCTGTTATCTTAATGCTTTTACTGGTTCAGGGAAAAAAACACATCTTCAGGTACGAAAAAAACCCAGTTTAAAAGCTTAAAGGGTTAGTGGGGGAAGCTTAATCATGTGCTTGGGAATATTCCCCAGCACTACCTACTACCATCACCTGACTTCAGGCTTTTACTTTTTAAATCTGGTCTTCATACACAAATCTTAAGTTAGCAAGCAGGCTAGGGACCAATTAAGAACAATATTTATAATCAAGTGATATAGCTTATTGATATGTCCA